ATCTCAGACGGAATTTCCACTTTTATGATCACTTGGACACCAAAGCCCCAGGGTCATCCTGATGTCTTTCTCACAGTCCCCATCCAACCGGCCTGAAAATGCTGTCAGCTCCTCCTTTGAAATGCATCTAGGATTGGACCACCTGCACTATCTCTACCCTGGGCTAAGCAGAGATCTCCCAGGCCTTATCATAGGGCCAGCTGCTGCCACCGACACGGCAGCCTCAGAGAGCCAGCTGAAACCTGACCCAGGCCACATCCACCTCTGCTCGGACCTCCGCCTGGCTCTCGTTCAGGGCAAAAGCCCCAAGTGACCTGGTCTCACCCACTCTTTGCTGTCTGTCCTTAGCTCCCTCCCTCTGCTCCAGCCATACACAGACATGATGGTCCTGCCTCAGGGCCTTTGCACCTGCTGTGCCCTCTACCTGATGAGCTTGCCTATACCCTCATGGCTGTCACCTCCACTTCCCCCGCTGCATCCCCTGCTTTGCTGGTTTTCTCCTGAATTGTGCCAGCTGCACTCATGGGGGTATAAGTTAAGATGGTTTCTGCCAAGGTGCAGAGCCTGGAGTCCCCTCGAGTCCCTTTGGGAGAAGTGGCTGAGCACTGGAAAGGGAACCAGGGAAAGAACAAGTACAGCCCAATATGTATGGAGAAAGCGAGTCATCTTACTCTGCACCCTGATCTCACAGTTCCTGGGAGTTGTGGTTTGATGACTCCAGCTGGTATATCGTTCCTCAAGAGAATGGAAATGTACCGGGGAAAAGAAAATGCCTTCAGTAAAAATAAGTCAACAAGCATGTTCTATGTGGCAGGCATTTCACTAAACAATATTTACATGCATTACCTACTTTATGACCACAACCCTCCTACAAGACCAGCTGCATTCTGATGGAAGAGGAAACAGAGGCACACAGGAGCAGGGTCACTTGCCCAAGGTCACGGGATGTGGTGGTTTTAAAGGAGGTCCACAAATTTCTTGCCGCTTTTCTCTTTGGTGGAGCCTAAGTTTCCTTCCTTAGAGTGTGGGCTGGACTTGATTTACTCCTAATGAATAGAAAGTACCAGAAGAAATGGCGTGAGACTCCTGAGTAGGTCATAAAAGGCACAGAGGTTTCCCTCGCCTGCTCTGTGCGGGGCCGGCTGCCATGTAGTGAGAAGCCTCAAACAGCGCCTGGGAGGTCCACATGAGGAGGAGCCATGTGAGGGGGCCTCCTGGAAGCTGCAACTCCTGCCCCCATCAGGCCCTCAGGTGAGGCAGCCTTATGAGGGACCCTCAGCCAGAACCACCACACCCCCCGCAACAGATCACTCCCAAATTCTCACCCAGAGAAACTGGCATAATAAATATTTGTCTGAAACTGCTAACTTTGGGGATAATTTGTTATGCAGCAACTGCTAACTAATACACTAGACTCCAGCCCCCAGGACCTTTCTGCCTGGCTTCCCATTTTCCCTCCCAGGAAACACACCCTCTATTCTCAGTGGTCCATCCTGTTCCCTTCTCTTTATTCTCTCTTGCAGCCCACCAAGCGCCCACCGTGAATCTTCCACTTGTCTCTTTTTTTTTTTTTTTTTAAGATTTTTACTTTATTTTTTTTGGCTGCGTCAGGTCTTAGTTGAGGCACGTGCGATCTCTGTTGAGGCATGCGGGCTCTTCGTTGTGGCGTGTGGGCTTCTCTCTAGTTGTGGTGGTGGGCTTTGTCTTCTCTAGTTGTGGCACACAGGCTACAGGGCATGTGGGCTCTGCAGTTTGCGGCACGCGGGCTCTAGTTGAGGCGTGTGAGCTCAGTAGTTGTGGCGGGCGGGCTCAGTTGCCCCGCGGCATGTGGGATCTTAGTTCCCTGACCAGGGATTGAACCCACGTCCCCTGCATTGCAAGGCAGATTCTTTACCAGTGGACCACCACGGAAGTTCCTTCCACTTGCCTTTAACAACCGATTTTATCTAGTCGGTTCAAACAGTGGTTCAGCCTCTCCAAGGGGACATACAGCACTTGGGATCACTTTTTTCCAAACAGAGTCAACTATCAACTTTAATAAAACCCCAAACTTCATCCCAGCTCTGCTCCTGGCTCCTACATTTCTTCCCCTCCCCACTCTCAACTCTTTGCCCATCTCTCTGTATAAGTTTTTCTCTTGCCACTCATCCAAGACAATCACCGTTTTCCATCCCGTATGTCTCCGCTTCTTTGCTTCCATGGTAGCCAACGCTGGTCTATGGAACAGGCATCTCTTGTCTACACTACACCCTCTCCTTTTTCTCCCTATCCTACTTCTCAGGCTCAGATCCAGCCAGGAAACCTCCCCTCCCCCATTGCCCCAACTCCATGAAATCAATCACTCAGCAAGCCTTTAGGAAATTTAATAAGCTTGGCCTTTTTTTTTTTTTCCTTTTTGTCTGTGGACTTTTTGTTAGGTTTTCATAGGAAGAGGTGTTTGTGAGAGAACTATTTGCGGTGATGATATCTCGTGTTTTTGTAGCTTTTTAACGTGCACGGAGGAAAAGGAGTCAGAGATCCTGGGGGGGAGGGGGGTGTGCGGTTGAGGCCAGAAGCTGATAAACACGAGCGATACCCAGGAAAACGGATAAAGACACGTAGATTAAAAAAAGAAACTTCCAATCACTTACAACTTGTAAGTTAAAATTAATACAGGGGGGCTTCCCTGGTGGCGCGGTGGTTAAGAATCCGCCTGCCAGTGCAGGGGGCACGGGTTCGAGCCCCGGTCCGGGAAGATCCCACATGCCGCGGAGCAACTAAGCCTGTGTGCCACAACTACGGAGCCCGCGTGCCACAACTACTGAGCCCGTGTGCCACAATTACTGAGCCAGCGTGCCACAACTACCGAAGCCCGTGCGCCTAGAGCCCGTGCTGCACAACAAGAGAAGCCACTGCAATGAGAAGCCCGCACATCACAACGAAGAGTAGCCCCCGGTCGCTGCAGCTAGAGAGAGCCCGCACAAAACAACGAAGACCCAATGCAGCCAAAACTAAATTAATTTATTAATTTTTAAAAATTCATACAGGGTCTCAATGCAGTGGGGCATCTCAGATTGGATCCCTGAACAGAAAATGTGTTAGTGGAAAAACTGGGGAAATCCAGGCAAAGTAGGCTGCGAGTGTTTATGTTCATTTTAATGTCAGTTTCTCAGTTTTGATCTACGGTGCCACAAGGTTTGAACACTAGGAGACGCTGGGTGAAGGGTGTACAGGGATCCTCTGCACCACCCTTGCAATGACAATTATTCTGAAATCACTTTTTTAAATTAATAGAGTAAAGCGGGAAAAATGGCAAAGCCTGATGCCGACGTGAGCCAGAGACCCAGAACACGTAACCCTCTGCCTTACTTTTAGAGCCACGCATGTTCAAATAACTGGGGACAGCTGTTTCCCCGTTCTCACTTTTATGTGGATGGGTGCCCGAAACACGAGCAGCTACGGGCAGAAAGTTCATGCCTAAAATCTGTGTGGGCTCACAGCCTCAGGTCAATTAGTTCAGACCTTCCAGCACTCCCATGGGGAGGGGGCGGGCACAATGATCCCCACTTTACAGATGAGGACGCTGAGGCTTGGAGAGACTATCTCCTCTGTCTCTGTCTCTCGCTCCCTCTTTCTCTCCCTTTGTCTCACTGTTTGTCTCTCTGTCTCCCTCCCCCTCCCCCCTCCTCCCTCTTCCACACAGAGTTCTTAGAATTCAGGAATGGCTCCCCCAGGCCCCTGTGGTCCAGGTAAGGCAGGTGAGCCCAGGGGACGGGGACCAAGAGCTCGAAACCCTGCCCCAGGGCAGGAAGACAGATGGCAAGCGGCCACGCCCCAGTTCAGGTCCCAGCTCCCCACGTGCCGGCCACAGACCCACACACGCTCGCCCCGCCGGTTTCTTTCTCCTTCCTCGACTGCAGAAACTGGAAGGAGGCGCCCAGACCTTCGTGTCCTCCTCCAGGAAGGACACACTCACCTGCACGCGGCCTCGGGTCCCTCCCAGGGCCTCTGCCCTGTCACCGACAGCCATGGTACCCCAGCAGACCTTTCTCCGCGCGCAGCTTGTGCCCAGACTTAATCAAAGGTCACCTGGCTTGCCTCTGTTCAAAGACTCTCCCGGCTCCACACTTTCCACCCTAAACATTCAGAATCCTGCCAAGTGCACACGCTGAACAGCACGCAGATCTCCTGGGGGTGGAGAGCCGCAGGGTCCCCTCTCCAGTCCGTCACCGCGGGCAGATCAGGGGCAACACCTGACGTGCTGTTTGGAGGGACAGGAGGGCTATCCACCACGTCCTGGGGGCTCCCAGGGTCTTCCGTCCCCTTTTCCCAGGCGAGGAAACAGGGAAGGGGCGTCCACACACACACACACAACCACACACAAAATCATACATGACCTCACAGTGCAATCACGCACACGTGGTCACACACTAGTTACACAGACACACAGCACACACAGAGGCAATGACACCACCCCACACAGCCATACGCAACCCCGCGCCTGTAACCACACAATCTCACACAATCCATCACAGGCACAATCACTCACACGCCACACCTGCCGCCGGCAGCGGACTCTACGGCCCCTCCCCCATAGGACCCCCAGCCCAGCTTCAGGCCTTGTGACCACACCCTCCCCAAACTGTTACCCCCCAAATCCTTGTCGTGTTTTTACTCACTAGCAAGGGATTGGCTGAGAGGAGCCACAGGGAGGAAAGCAAGGGGCCCCTCACCAGATCCCTGGAAACCTTCTCGCAGGCTCTGCGCGCCGTTTCCTGCCGGCCCAGCCCCACCGCGGGTTTAGCCGAGTTAATGGGTGGGAAGGCGGGAAAGCGGCCGTCGGGGTTGGGGAGCCCTCGGGGTGCCGAAAAACGCAGGGTGCCCGGCCGTGTCTACACGACCCGGCCTCAGTCACACTCCCCGAGGGCGTCTACACAGTCCGACGCGTTTTCCGCAAGGGCCGGGCGAACCGAAGCGCGGGGAGAGGGCAGCCGCCTCATTTCGGGGGACCCCGGACTCACCGCGCTCCTCCCGAGGCTGCACCGCGGCCCGGCTCCCTCCGCAAACGACCCGGACTCAGCCAAGAGGCTCAGGGATGGGGCGGGGCTGGGGGCGGCACCGGGTGGGGGAGCCGCCCTCCTCCCCACCCGGGCATCAACCGGGGCTGGGGGCGGCGCCCTCCCCCGCACCCGAACAGCACTGCCTTCGCCAGCTTCCCCTGCCTGCCCCCCCACTGCACCCCTTCCCCTGCGCACCTGGGACTCATCCTGGCCGCTCCCAGCTCCCAGAGGCTCTGAAAGGACAACTGGGTGTGGGTCGCCCTGCGCACCTGGTCAGGAGCCCAGGTGGGTCCCATCAGCAGAGGGAGGGGAGTGGGCGGGCGGTGCCGCGGGAGCCACGTGGGGAGATCGGGCTCTGGACCCTTCGGCTTTCTGGAAGTTGCGGGAGGCCGGTGAGGTCCAGGTGGAGGGCATGACCTGGGCAGGTGAGCCCACGTGGGCAGGTGACCTGGGACACAGGGCAGGGGAGGGGTGCCCGGGACCACAGGAGCAGATGCTCAGGGCGGGAGACAGCTTGGGGGGAGGAGTGTGCATGCGAATAACTACGGTAGTTTATTAAATGAAATTTAAATGTTTGAACAGTTTCAGGCTTATGGAAAAGTTGTGAAGACAGTACTGAGAGCTCCCACACACCTGGCCCCGGGTCCCCATTCCTGACTACTTACTTTAGCGTGGTACCTGGTCACAATCACCAACAATATTCGTTAAGCCCGTGCTCCTGGGGGCCACCGTCCTCCCTCCCCGAGGCCAGCCGAAGGGCTTTCTAGAACTTCAGAACACCTGAGGGTGACACCCCGTGAGTGCCTTGCCCACGTGGCTGGCAATCCCCACCTCTCTCCGGCCAAGCTCCTAACCTCCTCTCACCTCCCCACCGGAGCCCAAAGCAGCCTCTCCAGTGTCCCTCTGGCTGGACAGTCACCTCCTCCAAGCAACCTTCCATGCTACCTGCCCCCCAAGACAGAGCTGGGGGCCTCTCCCGTGCTGACCCTCGGATGGGCTGCCTTCCCAGACTCACACAGGCATCCCAGGCCTGAGCGGACGCCTGGCACACAGGCGTGCAATGAACCAGTGAGTGAATGAGCAGGTGAATGAATGAGAAATGCATAAGATCTGGTCTACTTAGTGAAAGAAAATCACTGGGGCTTCCCTGGTGGCGCAGTGTTTGAGAATCTGCCTGCTAATGCAGGGGACACGGGTTCAAGCCCTGGTCTGGGAGGCCCGTGAGCCACAACTACTGAGCCTGCGCGTCTGGAGCCTGTGCTCTGCGACAGGAGAGGCCGCGATAGTGAGAGGCCCGCGCACCGCGATGAAAGAGTGGCCCCTGCTTGCCACAACTAGAGAAAGCCCTCGCACAGAAGCGAAGACCCAACACAGCAAAAACAAATAAATAAATAAACTCCTACCCCCAACATCTTCTTTAAAAAAAAAAAGAAAGAAAATCACTGTGCTCACAGCATTGGTCCTCTTTGTAGCTCAAACGCCAAGACACTGATGGTAATGTGGCGAGTGGCACAGCCTGGCGTGAGCCTGGAGGTGCTGGCCCCAGAGACTCGACTTCTCCGTGTGTAAAGCTGAAACAGGCCAGCACACGGGCCCCCGCCCCACACACGGCCTGCAATCCTCACCACCTGTGCTCCTGCAGGCCGGGGTCTGATTGCTGGGGCCACCACCTGTTTTTGCTCAGCTGTTTGCTAAGCAAGGGCTTTACGTTTTTGAATTGTTGTAAATGAGAGTATTTTGTGACCTGTGAAAATGACACCAATGCACATTTTGGTGTCCACCAAGTTTTTGGCCACAGTCACGCCTGTCTGCTTACACGTTGTCTGATGCTTCCGGCTACACAGCTGGGTTGACCGGTTGTGACAGTGACCATGTGGCCCAAAAAGGCCCAAACATTGACCATCTGGTTCTTTACAGAAAGTCCGCAGGCCCTGCTACAGGTGACTCTCTCCGTGGTTCTTAGATCATCACAGACAAGCTAACGGTATCCAAACACAGACAACAGCAGGCTCCGCTACCCTCCCCTCCCCTCACGAGGACCCCACGCGAGTAAGGACAAGTAGCCACAGGCGGCAAAGCTGAAACCCCACTTGGGCGGCACCAGCAGCCACGGGCTGCGGGTGTGCTCCGGACACCTCCATCCACACAGGAATTCTTGCAGGCTGAAGGCCACCGGGGCCCAGCCCGGCCGGCCCACCGAGGGCTTCCCCCCAACGCCCCCGAACCCCGCCCCCCACCGCCGGCTCACTGCAGCACAGAAAAGGCAAAGACCCAGCCATAAGTATCAAAAGCTGTGTTTAATTATAAGATTCAAACAGAAGCAAGGCAAAAACTGCAAACTGAAACTTCAGGAACTAACATCCTCCTTTGAATTCCTTGACGTTTGTCAAACCTCCAAAACAGAAAAAAGAGAGATTCCGCGCTCTTTACCGACGTACAAAATGGCTTAGAGGAAGGCGCAGTCCCTAGAGGGAGGGCGGAGGTCCGCTCGGGCCTTCCCCCAAGGCTGCCCCATGGCTGCGTCCTGGTCCCGGCCTCTAAGGCCAGGGGCTCCCGTGGGGCTGGGCAGGTCCAGCTGCTCCAGCCCCGCCCTCCCACCGGATCACCTGTTCTTTTGAGAAACACTCAGAAGCAGGTGGGAGACGCCTTCTGTTTTTTTTAGGAATAAACATCGTTTCTTCCTCGAGAGGCGTGGCTGAGAGGCTGTGAGTCTGGCTGGCGCTGGTATTGTGTGGAACGGACCGTGGTCGCCCCCGCCTGCTGTGTGCAGCGCAGCAGCGCGCAGAGGGACACAGTGCCGGCGTGCGGCGTGGACGGGGTGTTGGGGGGGTGGGGGGTGGGGAGCGGGCCGGGGCCCTGGCGATCAGCAGCCCCGGGTGCCTGTCCGGGCGCCGGCTCTGTCGCCAGGCGGTGACACGGGGTACGGCGGCATCTCCGTCGTGAGGTTCAGAGAACCCTGTCCGTGAGGTAGAAGACATAACGCCAGTTCCAGAATATCCTCCCACATTCCAGAAGCTCCCCATCCCCCGTGCTGGAGTTGGAGGCCGAGGTGCGTGCACTGGATAGGGTGCTGAGAGCGTGCGGGTGCCTGTGGCGAGGGTGGGAGCCGAGTTCCCTTGAGCTGAAAGGCAAGATGGGGCCACCGGCCTGGCACCAGCCCCGCCCCCGAGAGGGGCAGTCCGAAGGGCTCGCACCCCAAGAGGCGACACTACCAGAATTTCAAAAAGTCGTGGCCGTTTATTCAAACTTGGAGGAGCTGTACCACAGGCGCTGGGCGCTTCCGGGCGATGGAAGGGCCGGGCGCAGGGCTCGGCGCTCACCGCGGGCCCCCAAGGCCGCGACGGCGTCCAGTCCAAACCCCTGGGGGCCCTGCTGGGCAAAGGCGCCCCTCCACCAGGAGCCAGAGACCCGCCCTCTCCCGGCCCGGACCCGAAGGGAAGCAGCAGCAGGGTAAGCACCAAACTGGGCGTGTCCGCGGTCAACGGCGGAGGTGACGGCCCCGCCCTTCCCGGGGCACCACCGCCGCAGGAAGCGGGGCGCGCGCGGGGTTGGCCTCAGCCGGCCGGGGGCTTGGCAGCCACGCGAGCTCGGAGCAGGGCTGGGGTCCGGGGTGTGGCCGGGCTGGAGCAGGACGTGCGCATCGGCCAGGCCAGAGCACCAAGTTGGGGGCCGCGCGGGTCCAGTCCCGGGGCGCGGGGGCCGAGTCTGCGCCCTCCCCTAGGCCGAGGGGCCGGGGGCGGGGCCGGGGGCGAGGCCTGCCGGACTCTCGGGCTCCTGGGGGGGCGCGCCGGCCCCGCTCTCCTCGGGCACGGACGACTCTGGGGGCTGCTCCGTGGGCGGAGGGGACGGGGCCGCTTCTTGGCCGCGAGGCTGCTGGGAGGGGGCGGCGTCGGAGTCCGCCTGGGGCTGCGGGCCGTCGGCGGAGGCGGGCGCCCACGGCGACTGAGGTAGGTCCTTCTGGGGGAGGGAGGAGGCCCGGGTTGGTGGAGCCGCGGGGGGGGCTCCGGACCCAGGAAGGAGCCGCGCTCGCCAACCGGCACCAGCACCGCATCAGGGCCCCAGGAGGGCCCCACCCTGCCTTCTCTGGCCTCCTCTCCCTCCAGAACCTTCCAGAACCAATCCACCCGCTCTGTAGCAAAGCCAACGCCCGCCGGGAGGGAGACCTTTGGGGACGGGGGCACTGAGCCCAGGAAGCCTTCCCGACTCACCGGGTCACAACGGTCACAATACATGTAAAGCGTGTTCACATCTATGCTAACAAGTTACACACACACCGGAAGCGCTCAGAGCCCCCATCAGGGCAGGATGGGTCTCCTAACAGGGCCCACTAGAGACCCCGCAGGCCCGGAATGCCCTTGAGTTGCAGGGATACAGCGGTCACCCTGCACTGCACGGGGAGTGGCCTCTGTCCCTCTCCTCTTCAGCTTCAGACAAGAACAAGGCCCGGCCCGCCCCCTGCCCGTGGCTGAAGCAGCCGGAACCCCAAGTCCAACCAATCCAACCAAATGGGTTAGGGTTAGCAGCAGGGCAGCAGCATCACCCCGAGCCACACCACAAGCACATGTACCCCTCCCCGTTCTGCAGCCACGGGAGCAGCACACCCAAAGCAAAACCTTCCAGAGACGGGACACGGGCTGCGGGGTTTAGTTGTAGCACTAGGAGGTCTTACTCAACTTTAACTCTAGTTAGGGCTTATTAGGCTATTATTTCTCGCAGACATTCATAGCAAACTGGTATTCACCGCAAAGCCGCTGCCCGTCCAGAACATGCCCAGCTCCCTGCGCCAGAGCGCCAGGGCGCAGCTGGTGACGAGCGTGCAGGGCACCAGGTAGAGGAGGGCAGGCTGGCCGCGCTGCATGAGGGCCAGCGCCATGAACGTCACCAGGAGACCGATGCCGTAGGCTGCGGAAGCAGAGACAGGCAGCACGTTACCCTGGCCGGTCCCAGGCTCACCACCCACTGCTCACAGGGGCAGGAGAGGCAGAGCTCACGCCAGGGCCGTGGCCAGCGGGTCCTCCCCACCCACACCTTCCCGGACGCTGGCAGGCGAGAGTGCACACAGGGGTCAGCAAGGAAAGAGGAGGGAACGAGGGCCCAGCCGCCAGACTGGGGAGAGGAAGCGGGCGGCCGCCATGGGAAGGCCTGGAGTCCCGGGAGCGGCTGGAGGAGCCGCAGAGGTGCCCCAATAGCTCATTTTTGTAAGCCTCTAGTTAGAAAAATAATTTGAACTGAAGTAACGTAGGTACAGAATTAGGAAATCAGACCTTTCATAACTGAGTTGTGACCGCATGAAAGCACTGAGGGGTGAGAAGCGTCCGCATTTCCTGCTCCCCGTTCAGCATAAAACAGCGTGTTATTTAGGGATGTGAGTCCAACATATAAAGACCCCCGCGCACGTAGAGCACAGGGACGGACATACAACACAGCACACATGAGGAGTTAGAGGGGTCGGCCTGAGTGCAGCGGCGTGGGGCTCACTGTACTAACCTTGCAGCCGTACACGTGCAATTACTCCCAGGTGAAGAGTTACAAAGAAAGACACCATTTACTGGCACATCCCCTCCGAGGCAAAGAGGCCCGTCTCCAGCACCTGCGTCTGCTCGGGCTGCCTGCCCTGCCCCTTACCTCCATGTTTCCAAGCGATAGGCTTGTGCAGGGAGAGTTCCCGCTTATCGGCTGTGGACTAGCCACGTGTCCTAAAGAAGTGATTCAACCGAGCCAACTACAGGATTTCAGTGACGGGAACTACAGAACAATTTGACAAACTGGTTCACACGGAGAAAAGCTCTGCAGGCGCATCTGGACGAGCTAATCATGGAGTGTGAACCCAGGGGGCAGGGGCGGGGAGCACGTGTCTGGACCTTCAGGAACCCGGACGCCAACGGCCCAAAGTACGCCGGGAAGGCCAGCCTGCGTCCGCCTGGCACTGCTGGGGGCCATGGCGGGGCCTCCCCTCAGCCGTGTCGGCTGGCGGGGCCTGTGCGCTCTGCACCCCTGCTCGTCCTGAAGAGCTGACCCAGCAGGACAAGAGAACTGGTTTGGACATTTTTAGAAATGACTGGACTCAACAGAAAATGAGAAGACATCCCTTTGGTGTAAATGGGTTTAGTAACAAAGGAAACAGAAGACAAAGGAAAAAAGAGAAAGACAAAGAAGACCAAAGAAAAGAGAAACAACGACCACCGTGGAAAGTGACAAGGAGGCCTGTGACGCAGGCGCAGGCCTGTCCCCTACCACCCCGCGGCAGAGGACGGGGCACGGCCGAGCCCCCGGGGCAACGGGCTTACCGATGGTACAGGCCACGAAGTAGACCCTGGAGGACTGCACCTGGATGTCGAAGCGGTGGCAGTAGGCCACGAGCAGCCCTGTGGGAGAGAGGCCGCGGGCAGAGGCCGGGCCGCAGCCTCAGCTAGGCACTGGAGGTTCCCCCGGAAGGGACCAGGCACCGTGCCTTCCTCCCGGCTCAGGAGGGAGCTGGCCCGGCGCCACCCTCGACTCCTGGCAGGTAACCAGACCTCCAGCGAGCGCAAACCCCAGCTCAGAGGCCGCTTGGTGGGGGGAGGGGCCCGGAGGGGGACCCTGGGGGCAGTACGGCTGGGACAACGCCTCCGGGGGACCACCTCCCTGCCCCCCAGGCCCCACTGGCTCAGCTCTGCCTCTGCCCACCAGCCCCTGTGGCCTGACACCCCCAAGGGCACCCGGACCGCCAAAGCCCGGCCCCAGTACCTGGGACCAGGATGTCCCCGAAGCCCAGGAGGGAGAAGGGCCTGTCACACAGGGCCAGCGGCGAGGCGTTGAGTCTGGGCACCTTCAGCACCATGGGGAGCTGGGGAGAGGGGGCAGCGCGTCCAGGACCCGCCAGCCCGCGCTCACTCCGCCTCCACAGCACCTCGGCCGCGGGCGCCACATACCTTCTCGTGGGTGGCTGAGTCTGATGGCCCGGTCGCCACCTCCACCATGATGCTGCTCCCACTCTAAGAGAAGGGGGCTGCGTCAGACGGGGGCCGGGGGGTCCAGGGCGAAGGGGGGGGGCCAGAGCCCACCTTGGTCAGGAAGGGCGTGATGAACACGAAGAACACGTCGTAGATGAACAGCACCAGCAGCAGCAGCGTGCAGGCCTGGGAACGGGGCGTCCTGAGGGCTGTGCTCGGGGACCTCCACCGGCCCTGCCCTCCACCCCACCCTGCCCAGGGTCCCAGACGCACAGACCTCCGGGACGTGTCCCTGCCTCTCCCGAGGCTCAGAGTTTCCCTGTGGGGACGAAGCCTTTAGGACAAAGCCTGAGCACGGGCAGCCTGACCTTCGGTGCCCTGGAGGCAATGTCAGGCCTGAGGCTCAGGGAGGGCGACTTTCTGATGGGACGCTTGAGAGAGACACAGCCGCAACCGGCCAGCCACGGGTCTGGGCAGGTGACGCCCGGCTTCACGTTTGCCTGTGTGTTCCTAGGTTCCTCCTGCTGGGGTTGGGCCTTGGCCCAGGGTCCCGGCCCGAGCCCTGTGCTTCTGCCCCCTTGGTTTCACCTGGTTTTCCCTCCTCTGTTCACCTCACCAGCAAGGAGGCGGCCCTGCTCCGCGCGCCCGCCCGGGTGTTCCCTCGGCCAGCGGTCACAGACGCTGCCGCCACGCCGTGAGACAACTCTGCACCGATCCTTAAGCCCTGTCCCCAGGAGGGTGGCCAGAGGGACGGATGAGCCAAGACCACACGGCCCACACAGGGCCAGGCTCAGAGTGCAAGGCCCTGGGCAGGGCTGCATGGCTGGCGGGCACGGGGCTGACCCCAAGAGACCCCGTCCCCTCGTCCGCAGAGCGCCCCCACCACCCCGAGGGGCCCTCACCTTGAACGTGGGGAGGCGGATGGTTTTCAAGGTGTAGAGGCAGAAGGCAATGCCCAGCGCGTCCTGAAGGATCCAAGCCCACCTGGAAGGCAGCGCAGCCACCCTTGGGCGGGGCCTCCACCAAGAACCTCTGCCTGCCAGGCCCCTCCCCCGCCCTGGAAGCCTCAGCCGCCAAGTCCAAGCCACCCAGCGCCCAGACAAGCCACAGAGGCCCTTATGCAGACAAAGGCAGCAGCCGACGTCCTGAGGCCCGTGGGGGGACAGGAGGGGCAGCAATGGCTGGTAGGAGCAGGGGGTGAACCGAACCCCCAAGCCTGACGCCACGGCCAGAGAAATGCAGGCGCGTGCCAGGGCCTCTGTCCCTCTGCAGCAGCGGCTCTCCACCCAGATCACAGCCCGGGGCAGGGGGTGCAGGGCGAGGGGGGACCATGTATCCAGCGGATTCAAATTTCTTTAAAAAAAAAAAAAAAATTTTTTTTTTCTTGGCTGTGCCGCGGGGCTTGTGGGATCCAAGCTCCGCTGCTAGAGATGGAACCTGGGCCCTTGGCAGTAACAGCGTGGAGTCCTAACCACTGGACCGCCAGGGAAGTCCCTCAAAAATATCTTTTAAAAAACTTAGAAAAGCAGGGCTTCCCTGGTGGCGCAGTGGTTAAGAGTCCGCCCGCCAATGCAGGGGACACGGGTTTGTGCCCCGGTCTGGGAAGATCCCACGTGCTGCGGAGTGGCTGGGCCCGTGAGCCATGGCCGCTGAGCCTGCACATCCAGAGCCTGTGCTCCGCAACTGGAGAGGCCACAACAGTGAGAGGCCCGCGTACCATGAAAAAAAAAAAAAATTTAGAAAAGCAAAACTTGTACCCACCCAGCCAAATGCCCCACACTCTCTGAGAAAATAGGGACTTGGGGCCCTGAGGACATCATCTGGAGTCCTGGGAAGCAGGGCGCCACCCTTGCGGGGCCACTTCCGAATTGGAAAGTCAAAGTTGTGTGATGAAGCCCGCGTGTGATGAGGCTCCCCGCTGGGAAATGGCCCCACAGCTGGCCCCGTCCTCCCTGCCCCTCAAGTTACTCATCAGAGCTTCATCTGAGCGCACGATGAGAACCTCTCTGGGCCAGGGCGCTGGTGAGAACAGAGAAGGTTCACCAAGGCCACATGGGCGCCCAGACATGGCGGAAACCATGGCCTGTTCTACCTTTATGCGAAGGAGCGAGCCTCCTGGCTTGGATTTAACCATGAGCGTCCCTATTCTCTTTGTGTACAAAGGACTCAAAATATTTTCATGCTTTCCTTCTGCCAGTTAAATCTGTTGTAGCTCCAAACAGCAGCACAGCCAAGAGCGTTTAACTGCCCCGGGAGAAGCTCAGAGAAAGTGCCAGATGGTGTCAGTGACGGCAGGCGGTGGCGCGCTGCCTCGCGGGGGAGGCCCCCCGGGGGAGGGGTGTGTTGGGAGAAGCAGAGCTAGCTGAGCAGGCAGGCGGGCACCACAACGGAGCAGCGGCCGAGCGGCGCCAGGCCACGTCCAGGCTGCCCCGGAGCACACGGCTCGGCGCCCGGGCAGCAGTGCCGGCGGCATCTCACGCCCAGATTGCGATCGCAGATCCCGGGGCACCGGACAAGCCACAGGGCAGACAGGGCCAGGCCTGGACGGCGTGCGGCCACTGCGTCCAGAGCACTGACAGGAGAGCCTTTCATAACCGGGAGCTGGCCCAGCCCCAGGCGCCCCGAGCGGAGGGCTCGGGGAGTCGCGGGGAGGTCAGAGCACCCGAGGACAGCTGTACCCACCCCCAGCAGGGCCTCCAGGACTGCACTCACTGGTCCTCGTTCCGGAAGACGCCCCACACCACACTGACGGCCACGCACAGCAGCGCCAGGAGCAGCATGCAGACCTGAGGGCGCTTGTGGAAGTAGGGCAGGCTGTTGTCGGGGACCCTGAGGGCAGGCAGGCAGGTGGGGAGGTCAGCGGCCTGTGACCCTCACAGCCCTGCCTCTGCCCAGCACCCGGAGGGTCAGCTCAACTCCTGCCCAAAAGCCCGTGGCCTCCCCGTCTGTCCTCCTACTGTCCGCCGGGCTCTGCTCCCAAGGGCCACTCCTGGCCCTGTCCCTTCCTCTACTTTACCTTATCTGTTAAACTCACCATCCCTCACCTTTTATTTCTAGAAGGGAGGCTCCCAAGGGCAGGGCAGGGCAGAGTGGGCAGGGGCAGTGCCTTGGGGGAAGCAACTGGACCTCAGCCAGTCGCTAAGCCGACCCCACCCGCAGGAGCCCTCATCGGGTGCTGTGACCCCTCTTGCACAGCCCTCCCCGCTCCAGGCCCTCCCCCAAGCCCCCCGAGCCAAGCTTCCTGACCCCGTCGGACCTCGTCTAAACCCTTCCGTTTCCCACCTGCTCCACGACAAGCAGACCAGACCCCTGACCGCAGAGAACCTTCGGAGCCTGGATCAGCAGCGCCGCCCGCCTGCTGCCCCCAGCCGACATCCCCCGAGGGATCCCACAGGCCCTGAGCCAGAACGGGAGGCCCACCCAGGGGCTGGAGGTGGGGCCCGTGAGCCCCCAGCCAGCACGGAGTGGGCGCCTGCTGTAATGCCTGCACCGTGCCAGACTGACCGAGGGCTCAGCAAAGCTGTGGAGCCTCCGGGGGCCAGGTAACGGGAGGTGGGAGCAGACGGGCCACAAGGCAGCAGAGGGGGGCCAGCTGGGGGTCGCCCGGGGGCTCACCTGCATCTGCAGAGCGGCAGCCGCTGGAGGAGCGGCGACAGGCAGCTGTAGAGGCCCGTGGAGGAGGCCAGGCAGAAGATGCCGATGATGACGTAGACTGCAGGGCGGGGCGGGCGGTCAGGGGAGCCTGAAGGACGGCTCTGTGCCGCACTCCCTGGCAGGGTGACCGCCCCAAGGGAAGGAAGGGGTAGCCCCAGGCCCCTCCCGGTGAGGCCCCTGGACTCCCCCCTCCCCCGCCGCCCTGAGAGCCGGGGCCGGGGACCCACCGAGCTGGTCGTAGAAGTGGTAGAGCAGCACCAGCATGGAGCAGCACATGACCACAAACACGCAGATCATGACGGGCGTCACGTCCACAGCCTCATCCTCGTGCTTCTCGGGCCCGTCGTCCCGCTTGTGTTTCATGTACCTCCTTGAAAGACAAGAACGGGCTGGGGGACGCCCTACTGGCCGGCACCGCTCCTGGGGGCCGAGGGCCACAGACATGGGGAAGGACAGGCAGGGGCAGCCTGACACAAGGGGTCTGGACAGGCTGAGGGACAGCTTGCCCGGAGGTGACCACCGTCACCTGCCCCGTCGGCCAGTCCCCCGTCCCCACCCACCATGTGTACCTGGGGTCCCCCCCCGACGGAGCCAGTCCTGCCGGAGGCGGGGCTCCGGTCCCCAGGGCCAAGCTGTGGTGGCCGCATGGGGGCCACCCTGGACCCTGGCCCTGTACCAACCCCACCACCGCCCTTCCCTGGACGGCCGGGGCGAGGTCTCCCGTGGATGCCCCCGCCAGGCTGGGCCCGGGCCGGGAACCCTGAGGGCAGGACAGAATCGTGGGGAGCGGGGCCCTCGGGGCTTTCAACGGGTCTCCTGGGTGTTTATAGCTGCTGTTTTCCAGAAGGCTCTCTGGGCATGCGGACTCTCGTGGTTACTTGCCCAGCATTACGGCCGCCCATCCGGGACGCACGCACACGCGTGGGCCACTCACTTCCTCACGTCCCGGCTCCCGGCCCAGTAGCCCCCGAGGGCAACGGTGCCCACAGCCATGATGAAGATGATGACCATGTTGTAGTCCAGCATGGGCTCCTTGGGGGCGTACAGTGCTGCCCGTACCACCCGGCCGAAAGTCTGCCTCAGGGAACACAAGAGAGCTAAGGTCGGGGGGGCCCCCCCGTCCCCTCGCCACCCAGAGGGCTGAGGCTGGCCCACTCGAGGAGCCGGGGGCCGGGAGATCCCGCCTCACCCCACGCCCTCACCTGCTACTCCTGACCCCAGAGAAGCGGGCTCTGCCGGGATGAGCTTCACACAAGGTGGGTGACAGGGCCGCGCATGTGTGGGAACACAGACCCCGCCCCCAGACAAGCATGAGTGAACGAGGGTGGACGTGGCCTCGGAAGCGGCCCGGAGACGGACGGTGGGTCCCTTGGGGGAGACGCGAAGCCTGCAGTGGGGAACCTGGCTATCCCCATGCCACCGTGTGCTGCAGCTCGCCTGCTCGGGACCCGGCTCCCCAAATCAAAGACGCACCAGCCTCTGGTCAGACAGGGCCGGGCCGGGCGAGGGGCCGGGCAGGCCTGAGCAGGGGGTGACACTCAGGGTCTCTGGCACGGGGGAGGGCCGGGGTCTCCATTCCTGACGTTCACAGCACTGCGGGCACACCGTCTCCTCAGGCACTGGGCCCAGCTGCAGACAGGGTGGGGGACGAGCCTACCTCAAAAATGTCCAGCATGTCTTTGTAGCTGAGCAGGGCCACGGGAATGCCGATCTCGTCGTACTGCGTCTTGTTGCCTCCTGGGGGGACCTGGGGGAGGGGGGAGAGGGAGGCCGGATGGCTTAGCAAGGCCCACCCAGGGCGGGGCAGCTCTCCCTGAGGGGACGAGGGGATGGAGGAGTCCTGCGTGTGTGTCAGGTGGGAGGGTCACACTGCCTTGAGGGCAGGCCTGCGGGCTCCGCCCCTCCCTCTGGGGGAGGGCAAGCTCCCCTTCCCTCTCAACCCTGGGCTTGGGTGGCGCAGGTCCGCCTTGAAGGGCCTGAGGGAGAGGGTGGCTCCTCAGGCAGCGGCCCAGAGCTCCGCCCCGGGCCAGGGCCCTCCAAGGCCACCAGTAGGAACCCCCACCCCCAGGGCCCCCGGCCGCCCAGGAGGCCCCGCGGCCGCACCAGCGCCTCCTTGCTGATGATGAGCAGCCCGCGCGCCCCGCTGCCCTGCGCCAGCCGCACTTTCTCGTAGAAGGTGCAGTTCCCCCGCGCCACCAGGGGGATCTGGTTACTGAAGCCTTTGGCAGGGAGGTCGGCCGGAGAGCAGAGCACGGAGGTCGTCCAGTCCCGCACCTGCAGGAGAGACTGCAGGAGGGCGGCCTTCACGTGAGACGCTCCAGGGGAGCCAGGGCGCGCAGCATCCTCGGGGAGACAGGTCGGCGGAGGCCACTGCGGCGACCACCGCCCCTACGCAGCCTCACCTCAGGCCCACATGGTCTCAGCCCCACACACGCACGTGCACAAGCGTGTGTGCACACCCACCCCGAGCACAAGGCAGATGAGAGGGGTACAGGGCGGCGTGTGCTCAGGAACCCTCCCCGCCTCTCTCGAGCCCGTCACAAACAGCACAAGGCGCGGGCGGGAGTGCTGGCCTTTGTTCCACCCGCCAAGCCAGGAACTGGGCACCCTGAGTCCCTCTGGGAGGAGTGAGGCCAGAGCAGGGAGCAGAGCATCCAGGCTACCCCAAAGACGGGGCCGGACACAGGCCCTTCCTCTGTCCACAACGGCTCTCCGCAAGACCCGTCCTCCAGAGGACCTCGGGAGACCCAGGGGAGGAGTGGAGGGAGGGCAGCAAGCAAGACAGACAAGACCCTGCGTCAGACAAGACCCTGCGTCGGGAGGGGGCTCCCGCGCTGGCCGGTACTCACTGCTTTGCTGAGGTCGAGCGGCAGGTGGGCCCACTGCGGGTTGTAGAGGATGCAGTAGTCTTTGCCTTTGGGGCCCCCAGTCTCGGACACCACGTGCACCATGCCGTACTCACAGGCCACCTGGACAGGGGGCAGCAGTCAGAGAGCCGACACAGGGCCGGCCCACGGCACGACCTGGCTTGGGTGGTCCCTCGCTCCGACAGCACAGATGGGATACGACTGTCACATCTTAGCGGGGGACACGATGAGGAGGGCAGGGCCGAGCCTCCTCAGGGAGACCTGGGTGCTGACAGTGGCTGTGTCAGGTCCCCTCCCTGTGGCTCCAGTGGCAGGAATGGGGGAGTCCTCCTGGGACTACAGGGAGAACGAGAGCCCCACGCCACTGCCATAAGGCAAGAAGGGGATGGGGAGTCAGCGGTGGCCCAGCAGGTTCCAGGCTCCCCGACAGGCCCCCACCCAGCGAGACCAGCAGGCTCAGGGCAGAAATGGGGCGGCGGAGCTCGGGTCACGTGACCAGCACCTGCTGGGCCACAGGCCGGTGGGAACCCCTGGGTCAGAACCTTGACCTTCCCTGCTCAGACGCGTGGCAAGTGGACGGTGAGAGAGGCAGGGCTGCTCTGGGCAGGGGGCCCTTCATGACAGGTGGCGTCACCACGACCCCAGCAGGGCCCAGGCAGCTGACAGAACCTCCTCCCCAGCACGTCCCGAGCAAGTACAGCAGCACTCCCGATGGGCACGGGCAGCAGAAGTGCCCGGCTTCCTGGCCCACTACTCCCAGGAGGATGACAAGGCCTCAAGTTCCTCCTGCCCAGGCCCGCCAGGCAGCAGGCTGCTCGTGGAGGGTCCCACAGAGTCCACGTGGACCCCACCCGCTCTGACACGGAGCAAGGTCGAGGGCAGCTGGCTGACTGCGGAGGACAGGGCGGGCTGGGCACACGGGCCATTGGGGCCTTTGCTCCGAGTGTGAATTCAGAGTGAGGTAGAGGCGCAGGCCCCAGAGTCCTTGGAACTCCAGCTCCTCCGCTGAGGGCAGCGGGGTGGTCAGGACCTGGGAGCGGCTTTATCTACATGAGAAACCAGTATTGCACACGAGTGTCCCCACTGCCTGCTCGTCCCCTCCCGCCTGGACCGCTGCGTCCCTGCCGGGGCTGCTTCCTCCTATAGGCCGAGCTCAGCTACGGAGCCCCCGCGAGGACCTCAGCCCCAGCGGGTCTCACGCTGTCTGGCCCTGGTCTGGGCTGCTCCCTGGGGCTGTGGGACCTGTGAGGGAGGACGGGTCCCAGAGAGAGCCTTGAGCAGGGAGCCCGGCCACGCCACGCCCACAGGGGCCTGGGCCCACCCCAGCCCCTTGGTTTCTTGGAGCTGGAGAGGTCCAACTGGACCCCAACTCTGCACACTCCGGCTCCTGGGGCCATCCCTCTGTACCACCTGGAGGCTGAGACAGAGACTGCACCCCTCGGTGACAACAGGCAGTAGCCTGTCTGTGCGGGGACAGACCCCCACCCCCATCTGGCCTTCCCAAGTTGCAGGCGGCGGTGCTCCGACTCAGCTGGGGTCCCGAGGGGCTGTGGCCCCAACAGCAGGCCTGGGGCACAGACCAGCTCGGAAGGCCAGGCCCTCTGTGAATGTGTAACGGGGCCCAGCCGCTCCAGGAGCTTCTCCCCACTGATCCACATCCACTGGCGGCGTGGAGAGGAACCGGGGCCCCCACTGCCCCTGCCCAGCGCTTTGGTTTGTCGCCTGGAGCGAGGTGCTGACAGCCGAATGGGCTGCGGGGTGTGCTCAGTGAGGCCATGTTTGCAGGGCACGTGGGCACTGCCACCAGCGCTCAAGGGAGGGAAGTGTGGTGACCTCCCCACCCACCCCTGCCTGGCCAACCTCGTTCCCTCGACCAGAGGCAGGATGAGAAGCCCCCTCTTCCAGGTTCTCCCCACCAGGCTGTCCCCAAGTACAGTGCCCAGCCCTGTGCCCCCACCCCAGGTCAGCCCTGCCCTGCCCCCCACCTTGGGCCACTGCAGGGGTTCTGTGATCCCTCAACCCCCAGGCTGAATCCGGCCCACCTTCTGTGTTTGTCAATAAAGTTTTATCATAACACGTCTGCCTGGTTGCTGAACGTAGGGTAGGGCGTATGCTGCTCTCTGCAGAGCCTGGGAGTTACAACAGAGGCCATGTGGCCTGAAAAGCCACAAATACTGTCTGGCCCTTTGGAAAATGTTTGCTGACCCCTGGTCTATGGGATCCGAGTTGCTGGTGAAAACTGTCGGTTGTATAAAATGGGAATGACTAAAAGCATTTGTTTTTAAAAAGTCACTGAGAGGCACAAGGGCACACTTCACAGCTCTCCCCTCACAATGTGCACAACTGGCTTTCTGTTAAGAAATAAGCCTGGGCTTGTATCAAACACCCGAGAACACAGTCTCGCCGTGAATACGGTCTCCTCCCCGGGGAGTTAAAGGGCTAGGAGAAGTTCCTCCAAAGGGCCCAGGGCTGTGAGTGCCCCCCATTCCAGCATAGCCCATCCCAGTTTGGAGGACGAGAAACAGCTGGGGCTACCGAGGACAGGCTACCTCCCGATGCGCCACAATCATATCGAGCTCAGGAACTCCTAGGGAAACTATGCTTCAAGACGACAGTGAAAGCATCCATGTCACGGGACTTTGAAAGAAGCTAAGGGGTCCAGACAGGGAGCAGTCTTCCTAGGACTCGGTGAATTCTAGAAGGGGCTAATTAGGACCTGGGAAGCTTAGAAAAAGATGTGCAGGCGGAGGGGGCAGTGGAGGGGTGAAGGGGCAGGCGGAGGGGGCAGGCAGGGAGAACACCACTGTGTTCAGATCTGCCGAGTAAAAGGCCCCACATGGGCTGTATGTGCACAGCTTACAGCAACTGGGCAGGGGGTCCAATCTCTCGCCCAGGGTCACAGAATGGTCGGGAATGAGCTTCGACCTGTGAGCAAGCAGCCTCCCGCCCCGTGGAGAGCTGGCCTTACCGGGGCGCCACCAAGAACCACACACAGGGTTCTGTCCTGGGAAGGGCTGGCCCAGGTGCTCTCCCGCTTGCTTCTACACCCTACTTGGCTCCCCACATTCAGGGTAAAGTTCCAAATCCTCAGCCAGCGGGAATAAAGTCCGAACGTCCCAGCACCTGGCTCCGACCAGCCCAGTCTGCTCCCCTGGACTCCAGCCAGGAGAGGCCACACGTTCAGCCTGCCCTTTTCCCCCTACGCCTGGAGCCACTCCCACTGCTGCTCCCTCCATGGCCTTCCCTGCAAGGGCACCTGAAGGGCCTCCACTGGGATGACACCTTCCTCAGCTGTAACCATTGGATTATCCTACACGCCAGCTGTAGTGGACCCTCACCGTCTCCAAGGAAATCATCAGCTCTTGAGGGGTAAGGGGGAGGGATAAATTGGAAGACTGGGATTGACACATACACACTACTATATGCAAAATAGATAAGTAATAAGAACCTAATGTATACACAGGGAATTCTTCTGAACGCTCTGTAATGACCTACATGGGAAAAGAATCAAAAAGAATGGATATATGGTTGTATAACAGATTCACTTTGCTGTACGCCTGAAACTCACACAACATTGTAAATCAACTATACCCCAGTAAGAATTAAAATAAATAAATCTATTATTCAAAAAAAAAACACATCAGCTCTCACACCTCCAGCCCTGCTCCCATCACCTGCAACGACCTTCTCTACCTTCTTGACCTAGCAAACGCCCACTCATCCTTCAGATCACCCCTCAGGCACCTCTGCTTCTGAAAAGCATTCCTAGGCCAACTGCGTCCCTCCTTCTGTGGTGTTCCCGTGATCCTCCGCCTGCCTATCGCTTGGCCCTCATTTGAAGTATCCGGAGAGCTTAAAGTCCCTGCCTCCAAAGGCTCAGACTGCTAGGGAAGATGAGTGAACAGGGGGCTGGCAAAGCAGCTGGGGAGGGGGCGTCCCAGAGAGCTTCTGGGAGGGAGGGACAGCTAAGCTGAGACCTGAAGCATAACCGGGGAATTCAGGGAAACAGAGACCAGCGAGCAGAGTGCCTTCAAGACACTAGAGCTGCAAAGAAACGGGAAGCTTCCTGACAGCCAGATCACAGAGGCCTCCCAAATGCGCCAGGAAGCCACCAGAAGGCTCGCATCTGGGCACAAGACACACTTTGAAAGAGATCACTCCTGCAGTGTTGAGAATGAACTGGGGATTCAGGGGGACAAAAGTGGCCACGGGAGAACGCCAACCGCCTGGAGCAGAGGTGGGGGCACTGGAGCAGAAGGGTCAAGGTTAACGGCCCAGTCTGTAGGGCTGTTGCGGGGTGGGGGGTATTTCCTGAGCTGTGGAACCTGGCGGGGAGAGGGAGGATTTGGAAATAAAAGATGCGCTTATGACAACGTACATCAGCCATTTCCTGGTCGGTCCCCCGCTAGCACTGGAGACCCTGAAGGTTTAGTGACAAACAAGTAGCATGCTGCGCGCTTGTGATCCCCTACATCGTTTTGCTGACTCTGCACTGTATACTTATCTTCCTTTTGCAGACGAGCAACGGACGCTCAAAGCGGGAAACTCCCTTGCCAAGGTCACGGGAGCAAAAGATGGGGCGGCGATTCGACCCCACTCCAGGGCTGGGCTCCTGGCCGCTTCCCGACACTACCAGACACTGGGTGCCGCGCTCGACAGTTTACCACAACCACGGGGAAAGGGAGTAGTATGGCACTCAAGGGGAAACTGAGGCTCAGAGAGGGGCAGCCCCCCGGCCAAGGCCACGGAGCCAGAGAGGGGCGTCCCCGGCGGCGGTGGGAGACCCCGAGACGGACCAGCAGGGGCCGGGGCGGGAGCGGGTGACGCTGTGGCTGAGAAGGACTTCCAGGCGGGGAAGGGAGACGGGCCGGGGACAGGCCCGCAAGGTCACGACCGAGCCCCGGGCCAGCGGGCCGCCCGCGCGCGGGGCGCGGATCCCCTAAGCTGGCTCCACGCCGGGCCGGGCGGGGTCCTGCGCGGGGCCTGGGTGGGGGTCGAGGGGCCGGGGCACCGCGGCCGGCGAGGCCGGCGGGGTCGGCGCCGCCCTCACCTGGGCCGCGAGGAGGAGGAAGGCCGCCGCTAGCCGCGCCAGCGCCGCCGCCGCCGCCGCCGCCGCCATGTCGCCCGGTCCCAGCCTCAGGCGTCGGCAGATGTTTCCCAGCAACGCCCCGACGCACCGCGCCACGCAGGCGCCCTGCGTCCGCCGCGCATGCGCGCAGGGCAGGATACAAAGGGCGCGGCGGCGGCTCCTGCGCACAGCGACGCGGACAGCAAGATGGCGGTGAGCGTGCGGCGAGGCTGGCGGGGTTGGCGCCGCTGGCGGGGTTGGAGGGGCTGGCGGGGCTGGCGGGGCGGAGTCCGGCTGCGCTCCCCGCCTCACAGAGCTCTGTTTCCCCTGCAGGACAAAGAGAAGAAAAAGAAGGAGAGCATCTTGGACCTGTCCAAGTACATCGACAAGACGATCCGAGTGAAGTTCCAGGGAGGCCGAGAAGGTGAGGCCCCTCCGCCCGCCCCCTCCACGGTCCACGAGTAGTAACGGGCGGCGGTACCGATAACGGATGCCTGGGCTGCGCTTTAAGCGCTAGGCTTGGACAACTCGTGCTGGCTTGACGGCGCCGGCAGGTAGGAACGGTTACGCCCCTTTTGCAGGTGGGGAAACTGAGGCACGCAAAGGGTCCCCAACCTCACCGGAAGCTACAGTGGCTGGGATTCACGGCTCTGCTTCCTGTGGGTCCTGCCTCACTCAGGCGACTGTCCCAGCTCCTCATGGGTCGTCCTGCACCTGAGGGTTTCTCAGGCTCGGCGCTGCTCACGTTGGGGCCGCATTTTTCTCCGTTGGGGGCCGTCCTGCTCCCACCCACTCGGTGCCGGGAGCCGCCTAGTCGTGACGTCCCAGACATGGCCTAGCGTCCCCTGGGCGGCAGAATTGCCGCAGTTGCGAACCACGGCCCTATGGTCAGTTTCCACCAAGCTGCCTTAAGGGTTTGTTTAAAACAAATCTCGTCTCCTTGTTCACGGTTGTTCCAGGGTAACGCGATGAACGTTTTGTACCTGAGTAATGCAGGGAGCTCTCGACTGCTCTGGGAAGCTTTCCCTGACCCCCACGCCTCCACCCCAGGTCAGGCCCCTGTTGTTATAAGTTCCTGGTAGCACTTGTCACAGTTTGCGGCTTTATGCTGTTACTGTGAGGCTTTAACTCTGAATTTGCTGTTGGAGTCTGGTGCGAAGACGGCAGGAAGGATGCTGCAGGGTTATGCAGGGAGCACTGCCCATGGCACAGCCCCAGCTCACTGGCTATGGGACTCCGGGCAAGTTGCTACCCTCTCTGAGCCTCTGTCTCATTTGTCAGAGGTTATTAACTCCACTTACTTCAGTAGTGGCACTGAGATTAAAGTGTTTAAAGCAGGTAACGTGTTTTTCTTTTTTAAAAAAATAAATTTATTTATTTATTTGTTTATTTTTGGCTGCATTGGGTCTTCGTTGCTGCGCACGGGCTTTCTCTAGCTGCAGGGGCTGCTCTTGGTTGCTGTGCGTGGGCTTCTCGTTGTGGTGGCTTCTCGTTGTGGAGCATGGGCTCTAGGCACACGGGCTTCAGTAGCTGTGGTGCACGTGCTCAGTAGTTATGGCTCGCGGGCTCTTGAGCACAGGCTCAGTAGCTGTGCCGCACAGGCTTAGTTGCTCCGTGGCATGTGGCATCTTCCTGGACCAGGGCTCAAACCCGTGTCCCCTGCATTGGCAGGCGGATTCTTAACCACTGCACCACCAGGGAAGCCACAGGTAACGTGTTTAACAGGGTTCCCGACATTTAGTGAGAGCCGGTCAACATTTCACTTATTCAGCTGCTTCTGAACGTCAGTTTCTTTATTTTGTAAGACAGTGATCCAGACCCCTCCTTCCCTGAGATGTGGATGACTGGGCAGCCTCAGAGGGCTAAAAACACAGCGCCTGCCCGTCTAGGTACCCAATGTAGTGAGGATCGGAATCTTAACAAACACTTGGCACCGTGCTGGCTCTGGGATGTATGAAGAGATGGGGCTCTTGCTTCTCAAGGCGCTAGTGTTCGTTTTCTACGCTTA